ATACAGATCATTAAGGGCAGGCAGTGGTCTAGTGTTGCCATTTGCTGGGCTATTAATCCAGAGACCGAGGTAATGTTCTGTGAACCTGGGTCCTCCTCTCACTCTAGCAGATGGTGGAATTTCAATATAATAAAAATTTAGCATTAACGCTCTGATTATGAACATTGTTGATTTTTGTGCGTGTGTTGTTGGTGTGGAACCATTGTGTGTTAGCACTGGTGGGAGTGATCTTCAGATTGAGATTACAACATAGAAGGAACAGAATGTGCCAAGTTGCTACGTCAGGTCTCATCAGGGATGAGCCCTCTTGGGGATATTAACTGGGTTCAAGTGCAGTGAAGTTCAGGCCATTATGGCAGGCCAGAGGAAAACATACCACCACCTGCACATACAGTGACAGACACAATGTAGATAGACCCCTCAAGTTGCTCAGCAGCCCCTTTGGTCAGTGGCAATTGGTATTACAAACATCCTTTAAACTCTGCCTTTCCTCGCAAAGAAGAGATATTCTCCCCCAAGCATCTCACCTCTGATTACCCTCAAATGCAGCTCCTATTCAGCCTGAAAGCTTTCTTGCATCTTCTTTGGCCTGCAATAATTATTAAGAAACAACCTCATAACCTTAGAATGTCCCAGCTGGAGTTCACCATCAATCTCTTCTCCCAAGACTGTGTCCCGCTGGATCCACAAGGCTGCACCCCAGCATCTAAAAACTTTAATTAACTTATAAGCTATTACTTTACCATCTACATACCTCATTTTGTGTATTTCAAAATCTCTTGTTACAGATTACAAAGGAAATGCTTAAAAGCAACAGCTAATTGTGAAACTTCCGTCAAAGACAGCATCACACAAATATACCCCAAATATAAAGCCTATTGTAGAAAAATCACGAACTCAAACTTTAAAAGAATAACCCTAGTTGCCAATTCTTCATGGGTAAGTAACTTTCACTCACTCTGTGCCTAGCAAAGCTGCAACTAAAGATACAACCAATGTAAGATCTCTCACCTGAATATTCAATGTGTAAAGAAATGTTTGCCCTGTAAGAGCAGACCTGATGTGGTATCCCATATATTGTATATACATTTCAAGTTTCATATTTGAGGCTAGATTTTCATCTCAATATGTTTTTAAAATTTAACATACATTAAAGAACATAAAAGGAAATGAATGAGATTTCGATTAAATATTCATCTCTAATATACTAAACCTCACCTTAAAATAAAACAACTGTGGGTACTGGAGATCAGGAAACAAAAACAGAAACTGAATTCCGATGAAGAGTCAGTGGAGTTGAAACATTACTTCTGCCTTCCACAGATGTTGCCAGGCCTGCTGACTTTCTCCAGAAATTTCTGTCTTGGTTTGTGAGTTACCTCACATGCTTGGTAATAAACGCACTCTTCGTGTTTTTAGGCTTCTGATTACATCCATTGGTGACCAGTAATACAGGCTGGCTCTGGAAATTGGGTAGGGTAATAGATTAAAGATGAAACCAAAATTTAGTACACACTAATACCATGATAAGATTACATGATTTATATAAAAAAAAGGAGGCAGGAAAATGTGATTAGGTCCATTGTGACACATGATTAAATGGATAGTGCAAACTCAGATATCAACCATCCATCCCTAAACAATGAGAACCCCGATACCTGCAGGTGCTAGAAATCTGAAAGACAAACAGAATGTGCTGGAGAAACCCAGCAAGTCTGGCAGCATTTATGGAGAAAGAAACAGTGTCAATCTTTTGAGTGCAGTGTGACTCTTCTTTGGAGCGCTGAAAGAGAATGTTAAGCATCATAGAATCCCTACAGTGTGGAAGTAGGCCATTTAGCCCAATGGGTTGATGTCTACCCACCAAAGCGCATCCCAAACAGACCCTAACCCTGACCCACCCTACCCTAGCACTGTCACCCTGCATTTCGCATGGCTAATCCACCTAGCCTGCACATTTTTGGACTGGAGAGGAAACCAGAGCACCCAGGGGAAACCCACAGAAGTATAAGGAAAATGTGCAAACTCCACACAGATAGTCGCCCGAAGGTGGAATCAAACCCAGGTCCTTGGTGCTGGGAGGCAGCAATGCTAACTGCTGAGCCACCAGGCTGCCCCTGTTTCTCACATGACAGAAGCTGCCAGTCATGTTGAGATTTTCCCACACTTTCTCTTTATCTTTAAGTCATGTTACCTACAAAAGGGCCAAAAGAAACAGAAGTTTATTTGAATTTGTGGTCGATCTGGAAACTTTATCTTTAACTGATACATTGAATGGATTTACTGAGTTCAGCTAAAATAGAATACAAAGCAATATCAAGCATGGAGAGGGTTCAGAAGAGATTTACCAGGATGTTGCTTGGTATGGAAGGTTTGAGTTATACAGAGAGTCTGGATAGGCTGGGACTTTTTCACTGGAATGTAAGAGGTTGAGGGGTGACCTTATAGAGATTTTTAAAATCATGAGAGGTAGAGGTAGGTGAATTTGTGGGTATCTTTTCCCTAGGATGGGGGATTTCAAGACAAGGGGCATATTGTTAAAGTGAGAGATGAAAAATTTAAAAAGGACATGAGGGGTAGCGTTTTTCTGCAGAAAGTGGTTCATGTTTGGAATGAACTTCCAGAGGAAGTGATGGATGTGGGTACAGTTACAATATTTAAAAGAAATTTGGATAAGTACATGAATAGGAACAGTTTAGAGGGATATGGGCTAAGCGCAGGTAGCTGGGACAAGTTTAGTTGGCTTTATGGTTCGAATGGACTGGTTGGACCAAAGTGTCTGTTTCTGTATGACACTATTACTCTGTGACCTGCACAAATACCCCCAGTGCAATCTTCATCCTTACTTCTGTCAGTAACATTGAATGGAGACCCCCTATGGAGGTGCTTGTGTGTTGTAGCAGTTGCGTCCCTATACCTGAGCTAGGAGGCATGGGTTCAAGTCCTGCTTGTTGCAGAGGTATGTAATAACATATCTGGACAATTTGATTAGAAAATGTCGAGGATGAAAACCCATGGACGAGATGAGATTTCTTCCTTGAATTTTTTTCCAAGCCTATTTAAGTAATTCCTCTTTGCTTCTATTCTATTCATTATCACCACTGTCTCCTCTTTTACTGCTACATTAGCAGCATCCGTTCCTCTAGTGAAGACATATGCAAAGCATTCATTTATAGTTCATTAACAGGGCTACTGTTGGTAAAAGGAAAATTTCCTTTTCGTTCCCTAATCAGCCCCACCCTTCCTTCAATTTCCATTTCCTTACTTATGTATCAGCTGTTAATTTATTCTCATTCTTGTTCTTTGCCCCTCTTATTCCCTTTCTCAGATTTCCTCTGTGCTCTCTAAACTTATTTTGTTTATTTTAACAATGCTATGAGCCTTACAATTGTCCTATGACACTTTGTTTTATTTTATTCTGATCTCTCTATCCCCAAAACTAGAAACAGCACAGCTTCCTTCTTCAATGGATTGAAAATGCCATTTTCTTGCACATGCAGGCAGTTTTCAAAAACGTAAAGGGCAGGAGAGTTAAATGCCTTGACAGCTTGCGAGTTCCATTGACAGGTTGACAGTTCACTTGATAGTTTGACGGTTCCAATGTTTGCACAAATGTTTCATGATCATTTTTATCTACTTCAAATAATTTTGTGGACAATTAACCTTTCCAAAAGGGCACCTGATTTCTCCCAAAGGCATACCTGGACCGGTCCAAAAGGATACACTATCTCACCAAAAGGTTATATTGTTCGACAAGTAACTTTGATTAAAAATGATTTTATTTTAGTGTTTTGCTGACTGACTTTTCATGCATGCACCATTCCAAATGGACACTGTCCATAAATTACGATTGACCTGTCGAAACGTGAAGTGGTTATTCATTCTGTTGTGTAGGTTGGTGAAAAAACCGCTCATGCAGAAAATGTTGACGTTGAGGTCATGCTCCCAGAGGAATTGTCCTGGAAATCAATGGAGCAGCAGAATGATTTTTTGAGCATCTCTTTTACATTATTCAGTGATACAACGTTGTTTGAGGTAAAATGCTTCAATTTCTACACTGACGTCTGGATAAATATGTAAAGTGATGGAATAAAATGCACTTCTTCTTTTCCTCACTTCACGTCATTTCAGTTCGAAAAGGAGAAAATAAGGAGCTTCCGTAACATAAGGAAGGGCACATTCAATCAACAGGGAAGTAGGGAACAGGCCACTACCAGCCCACATATTTTTCTGAACTGATTTTTGCAATCTCCTTTGCGGACAAGGTCAATATTGATGTGGAGTAGGCAGTGTTGGACTGGGTTGAACAAGGTCAAAAATCACAAGACACCAGGTTATAGTCTAACCTGTTGAACTATAACAAGTTTTGTGGGATTTTTGACAAAGTCAACATTAATGACTGACAATTAGCAGGGCAAAGTAATTGCCATCAAACCCTAAACTTAACCCCTTTTATTCACGTTTAGGAACAAGAGAAGTAGTCTGTATGTTTGAAAGCTGGTAGCAAATGAATGAGAGTAGGAGGTACTGTGATGAATCCTTATTTCAGTGGTGAGGAGTGAGCAGGTCGAAGACCATATATGATAATGTATTACGAAAAGATATTGAAGGTGACCCCTAACTTAACACTTTCATTCTGATCATTAATGAAAATAATGCAACGTCGTTATGATTTTAAAGTCAAACTCCCTCCCTCTATAATTCCTTCCAGTCCATTCCAGCCCTCCATATTTCTGCAACTTCGTCCGGTCTTTACAAACCTTCCTACTACTGTAACATCCTCCAGCCCTTACAACCTTCCACATTGATGTAACCTGCTCCAACTTGTTTATTATATTATCATTTAAATGGAGGAAGACTGCAGAAAGCTACGGAACAGAGGGATTTGGGAGTCCTCATCCACAATTCATGAAAACCTAGCATCCAAGTTCATAGGGAAGGCATATGGAATGTTGGTCTTTATTACAAAGGGAATGAGATATATAAGTAGGGTGGTTTTGCTGAAACTATACAAGGTACTAGTGAGGCCACAGTTGGAATACTGTGAACAGCTTTGGGCCCTTTTTCTAAGAAAAGATATTGTAGCATTGGAGGCAGTGCAGAGAAGGTTCACTAGGTTCATTCTTGGTATAGAGAGACTGTCGCCTGAGGAAAGGTTGGGTGGGTTGAGAAACCACAGGGAGCTAAGCCATTGATTTTGTTCAAGGCAGCTTTGGATAGAATTCCAATCCACAAGGGAGTCAAGGTTATGGGGGTCAGACAGAAAAGTGGAGTTGACACAACAACCCAAACAGCCATTCGCAACAAACAACTGCACCTCCCAGTCACGAACCATTTCAACTCCCCCTCCCATTCCTCAGACGACATGTCCATCCTGGGCCTCCTGCAGTGCCACAACAATGCCACCCGAAGGTTGCAGGAACAGCACCTCATATTTCGCTTGGGAACCCTGCAGCCCAATGGTATCAATGTGGATTTCACAAGCTTCAAAATCTCCCCTGCCCCGACCACATCCCAAAACCAGCCCAGCTTGTCCCTGCCTCCCTAACCTGTCCTTCCTCCCACCTATCCCCTCCTCCCACCTCAAGCCCCACCCCCATCTCCTACCTACAAGCCTCATCCCGCCCCCTTGCCCTGTCCGTCCTTCCTGGACTGACCTATCCCCGCCTAACTCCACACCTACACTCACCTTTACTGGAGCCAACCCCGCCTCTTTGACCTGTCTGTCTCCTCTCCACCTATCTCCTCCTTTATCCATTTTCTATCCACATCCCCCTCTCTCCCTATTTATTTCAGAATCCCCTTCCCCTTCCACATTTCTGAAGAAAGGTCTCGACCCGAAACATCAGCTTTCTTGCTCCTCTGATGCTGCTTGGCCTGCTGTGTTCATCCAGCTCTACACCTTGTTATCTCATGGGATATGAACTGTCCTGTGTTTCAGAGTCTCCGTCACTTCATCTCATTCCCTCATCCATGAAAGACCTTTGTTACTACTTTGTGTTGGACCAGAAGAGCAGGATCCCTCCTATTAGACTATTAAGGAACTCCCACACAAAACTGAAAAGCTGTGATTCCAGCCTAATTAGTGCCTATTCCACCTCATACAGAAGTACACCAGACTTGTGAAAGATGTTTGTCCCTAATTACTTATGCTTGAGCTGCTAAAAATGCTTAATGTCATGTCCTTCAGCGCTGTACATTGCTGACAGTTCTCATGGCTTTATTTCTCAACAGGATGAAAATAATAGAACGATCTTAAACGACAAAGTGATCGAAGTCGCTGTAGGAAACACAAGTATTCATAACCTCACTGAATATGTGAATCTTACAATTAATCACAAGTTAAACATGCTGGTAAGAAAATCTTCAGTAATTCCCAAGAACTTTCAGGAGTGAGAAGAGACCTTTATATTGATTGAATTTCATTGTTTTGCTCCCCTAACAGACATTAAAGAAACCCTTTCTGTTTTCTACATATTGTTTTGTTCAATTTTAAATGGTTCAGAACTGAACACCTTGTGTAAAGTATAAAGTGATGTTCTTTGTTCTTTGCTTATCCTATCCAACCAATTTACGCTTCAAAGTTCTGCATCTTATTCCTTATTGTTTTGGAGATATTGTTTTTTTTTGTTTTTGCCTACAAGTATCTGCTGGACTTTGCAGTGTATACCAATCAGTGTATCAAGTAGATATCACATCAGTACTGCCATTTTGAAACAAAACTCTGTCGCTGTCTTTTAAAGACAGACAGCCTCAGAAAAGACCCCACACCAGAGCTAATTAAATGGATCATCAGCTACTCACGTCAGCTATTGATTGATCTTTTCACAAGTTGTGTCAATTATATAAGGCTCAAGTGGTTTCTGAGCATGTGAGAAACTTTGTATATCCCCTCTGTCCGATTACATCAAAATGCATTCCTCATTCGCAAACTCTTTTCTATAACCAGTTCCCGTGTCTTGTCTGGCTGGAGCACTCCTACTTTTTGAAAGTTGTAGATTGGCTTTTAGTAGCACAGACCAAGTATTAAAATAGTGTTCACATCACACAAATGTGAGCATTGTTCCATTTGTTGTGGCTAATTCCTTTTAGTGCACAGTCCCTTTTTTACATGACCACATATGTTGACTTGCTTAAATATTAATTTTTTTAGCCTGGGCCAACTTGGGCTGGGAGCTTATCCACCCTGTAGGTATTTTTCCTCACCGACTTATTCCAAGATGTTATGACATATGCCTGGAGCAGGTGGGACTTGAACTGTGTCCTTCTGGCCCTGAGGTGGGGTTAGATCACTGCACCACAGGAGCTCTCTTTCCGAGCCTGTATGAGAGTGTTAATTAGCACATTAATCACCAAATTGCAATATCTGCATCTGTTGTCTAGGGCCGTCCCATTCACTCACCTTCATGTTGGTAACTACTTCAATGGTATGTCAATAAACACCTTCCAGGCTATCAACAGTGTTCTTCTGGATCTCCTCCTGGTTTACCTCCTGCACAGCTCAAGTGCTGCATTGATAGCCACTGAAGGACATCACTGAGGATGCAGACATACTGCTGCTTGCGCATTGATGTGAACCACTTTTAGGTGTGCAACAAGAATCCACCAAAAGAAATAAGGCCACCCGAGTAGTCACTTTAATTCCACTTTAAATGCTCCACATAGAACCCCAAACTTATAAAAGCAACATATTAAAAAAGTCTCCCAATTTCCTGAGGACCATCAAAATTCACTTTCAATCATTTGAATCGTATGACAAAGGTTCCCTTGTTACTGGGGAAGGTAGAATATTAAACCATACCTAATCGAAGGACCAAGACTCTGCATTTGTGCCTGGGTATGGAAAGACCCAGTTTAGTTGTTATTGATCCCAGTGTGAGATGCAATCACAGTCTAATTCAATTTTAGATTAAGCATTGTAATCTACAGACACTGGTGTCTGTTTGTGGCATACCTGTAGCATAATAGGCAATACAGCAGCTTTATTGTAAAGCACCAACTAACCAAACCAAACATGTAAATTTATTTTTAATTTTCAGAATAACATCTCTCAACACTGTGTCTTCTGGTCTGAAGATGAAGATGGTAAGCAAAAGACGAGTCAAACTATTGTAGTTAATATTAGAAAACTGATTCACTCTAATTTTTAGACCATAACTTGTGTTACAGACAACTCAACAGGTCATTGGGATACTACAGGTTGTAAAACAATAGTTCAGGATAGCCATACCTTATGTCAGTGTGACCATCTGTCCTACTTTTCTGTGTTACTGGTAAGTTTTAGACTCATATTCTTTGTATGAAAGATTGTAGTGTGTCTGTCATTGTCAGTAGGCATCTCACTCTTTCCCCTGAATCCCCTCAAAATATTACCTTAATTTAGCATTGTCATCTTCTACAGACGTTACATCCTTCCTTCCAAATCTTCTCAGCCTACTGCTTTGCCGAAGTTTCAATGAAAATATGTTGAGATTTCTGAATATTCCTACTCAGAGCCCAAAGACTGAACTTATCCCAGCTAATCAGCTTTCAAGTCTCTCTATTTCATCGATGGATTTTGATGATGAACCAGCTGTAATTGCAGAAGGCTGAGAGGAAGTTCTTCTATGCAGTTATGCCACGAGAAGAGAAATGCAATGCAACTTCTCTCCATTGCTTTAACCAGGTTTACTCCTCATCCTGAACATGGGGCCATGTAAATATTGGAGCCTGCATCTGCACCTATAGCAGAGCAGCTCATCTGGCGTAGACATCAAGGCCTCACAACTGGACCTGCTGCTTTGAAAAAAAAAGCCAGAGGTTTTCCCAGCCAAAGTCAGAAAGAGGCAAAGTTTACTGATGCTAAACCTCACAAAAATGTGGTACCACTTGCAATAATCTTCAGGCATCCAGTTATATGTTGGAGCTGAAACAGAATTTAAACCTGCTGTGAACCTCTGTGATTAGGAGGCATGCCTGATGAGATTGCTAGATCACCATTTTATTGCCCACAAATATATCCAAAAGCTGTAGGTTGGTTGAAAGTGGGCTGGTCAAATGTATCAGAATTACTTGCCCCAGTTTAACATTTGGTAGCTTTTGAATTCAGGTTCTGCCATGTTCCTCTGTGGAATTACCCCAGAGTAGGACCTGCAGAATGACTCAATTTCTAACCTAATGTTTCAAATACAGCTTCACCAAGACTCTACACATACTAAAAAAGTTTCTTTCAATGTACAGTTACACATAGTTGAGCTGCTCCTACTGGTCAAGTGTTTTGAACTGGCACCTGAGACAGACCATTTATTCTGGGTGAGACAGGATGTAACCATTACTCATTGTGGTCCATGCCTTTATTTCCCAAAGGACTTCCGTTTTGCCAACAACACTTTGGATGAAAAAATTGTGATTTCATTGACCTACATCACACAGATTGGTTGTGGTATTTCTGCCATCTTCTCAGCCGTCACAATATTCATTTACTGTGTATTCAGGTGAGCCTCACATCTGTTCGGATTATCGCCAATGGGACTGTATTCCAATAATTCCAATGGCTTTGGATCATGTATCATTTTCCATGTTTCCCAGGCCAATCCCTCACATGACATTTCACCTTGTTGACCTATGTATCATTAAAATAAATGGAATGTTGGGTCTGTCTGCATGAGGCAATAGGAAGTAATAGATGGCATGTAATCACTAAATCTATCTTGTCCTTTATCCTTGTAACTTTTTCTCATTGGTGCAAATTAAAAGCCCAGGAACTATAGACAACAGTTTATTTTTAATAGTAGGATGATACTGTATCATCAGGGATGATGGAAGGAATCATTGGTCCTTAAGGAGGAAGGGGTTGATGCTAAGGTGAGGCAGTGGATGGAACAGAGTTGTTGCAGGACTGATAGAAAAACTGTGGCAATTTTGTTTTAGTAAGGGAGGATGCAGTCCTGTTAGGCAAGTGACGCAGCTTCAGATTCACAACAGGGAAAATGCAGTATGGTTTAAAGGGTAGGCTTGCTAGAACAAGCCTCAGCTGAAGACCAGGGCCTCAACTCTATAATTTATATAAGTGGTTTGAATGAAGGGATCAAAGGTAAATTTGTTAGATTTGTTGATAGCATGAAGATAGTTAGGAAAGTGAGTTGTAAAGAGGACACAAGGAGCAAACAAAGGGATATAAATAGACGAAGTGAGTAATCAAACATCTGCTGAATGGTGTACATTGTGGGAAAGGATGAAATTGTCCATTTTGGCAGAAAGAATTAAAAACATATCTTATCTAAACCGTGTGAGGTTGCAGAGCTCTGAGATGCATGTTGTCCTAGTGCATAAATCATATGCAATATTTTTGCTCTGATTTGAAGAAAAATGTCAATTAGTGAAGATTATGGTCCTGAAATTCCAGTCTCTTGTTATCTTCATTCTCCAGCCCACACCCACTCTGACCTCTCTATCTTCAGATGCTGACCCTGTTCCAATGGAATGTGAGCTTGATGAAGCAACTCAGGTTTTAATTAGGCACTATATAGTTTTTTACAATCAGAATTGAGTTCAGCAATTTCAGATCAATACTTCATCCTTTTTCTGGCTTTGAAAGGCAGCAGTTAGTGCTACTCTCCTTTTCTCACTTACATCACTTGTAGTACACCTAATGTTATTGTATTTGTCCCATGAACATTCCCTTTACCATGAACCATCATTGCCTTTGAATCTTCTTTCTGTTACCTTTCCTCTAACACTGACCTACCCTCCAGTTCTCCTCCCTCATGTACATGTTTGCCTCTGCACTCACTCAAAGCCTACTGTATCTCAAACTTTTTCCTGTTGCGATGAAAGGTCATCGACCTTGAAACATTGGCCTCAATTTCACCAGACATTGTCTAAGTGTTAATTAGATACAAAATTGGCTTGATGGTAGGAGACAGAGGGTGGTGGTACAGGGTTGTTATTCAGACTGGAGGCCTGTGACCAGTGATGTTCAGCAGGGATCAGTGCTGAGTCCACTGTTGTTTGTCATTGAAATAACCAATTTGGATGAGAATTTAGAAGACATGGTTAGTAAGTTTGCAGATGAAACCAAAGTTGGTGGTATTGTAGACATTGAAGAAGATTATCTAAGATTAAAAGGGATCTTGATCACTGGGGTCATTAGGCTGAGGAATGACGGATGGAGTTTATTTTGGATAAATGTGAGGTAGTGCATTTTGGCAAGCAAACAAGGGCAGGACTTATACAGTTAATGGTAAGGCCCTGGGTATTGTTGTAGAACAGAGAGACTGAGGGGTTTAAGTACATGGTTCTTTGAAAGTTGCATCATAGGTAGACAGGATGGATGAGAAGGCATTTAGCACGCTTGACTTCATGGCTCAGACCATTGACATCATGTTGAGGTTGCATGGGATGTTGGTGAGACCTCGTCTCGAGTAATGTGTGCAGTTCTGGTCACCCTGTTACGGGAAGGATATTATTAAACTGGAGAGGGTTCAGAACAGATTTACCAGGGATGTTGGTAGAACTGGAGAGTTTGGGTTATAAGGAAGAGGATGGATAGGCTGGGATTTTTTTTACTGGAGTGCACGAGGTTGAGGGGGTGACGTTATAGCGGTTTATAAAATCATGACGAGCATATATGAGGTGAATAGCAAAGGTCTTTTCCCTACGGTGGGGGAGTCCAAAACTAGGGGCGAAATTTTTAAGGCGAGAGTAGTGTGGGATTCTGTTCAATTACGAACGAGATTGGTAAGTGGTAAAAATAGCCTCTTTATTGAGCAGCTGCAGCGACACAGTTCAAGGTGGTGATGGAATCCAAAGTACAGTTTTACAGTAGCCTCTTTGTACACAGTTCTTAGATATATTAATGTTTTAGCATTATGGTGTCACAACATTGTATCTATTGTACACAAGTTTGCGTGACATCTGTCCTGGGGAAGCAGGAGATGGTTTAAGCACTTGCTAAGTGTTGGCTGTAAGTCCTGATGGGATTAAAATGTCTGTCTGGTCTGAGCTTGCATAATTAAGAGGAGTTAGAGTTAGTCATGTTAGTAAAACTGCGAGACCTATATGATCTAAATAAGTGAGAAATTGTACGTGTACTAAATAAAGGTATAGAGGATATTAATTTAATCTCCAGCAGCTGAGTCATGAGATTTCAGTTACTATTGCCAGTTTTGACAGCTCTTACACATTCATTCACGCAGTTTCACGGAAGCACTGTTTTGATAGCAAGTGTCTTAAAAGGGGTAGTGGCCCCATTTAACATGTATTTAAAAAGTACATACGAGTGGAGGAAATTGTTTGATGTTCTGCAACCTATTCAGGTCCCAAGAGATGGTTGCTAAGGGCTAATTAATATTATAATCTTTCCATAGTTTCGAGTGAGTTATGGAGACACGACGTTGGGGATGGCATTGTTCTGAGTAGGTTACGGTATTAACACTTATTCAGAGGTGTCCTTTGATACAGAAACAGGTCTAAACACTGCTTGCAGCATGGGGCCAATAAGCAGTAATGGGTTGGAAAGGATGTTTAATTTAGTTTATCTTCTGCAAGTAAAATGTACCACAAAAACAAATGAGCGGAAATGTGGTACGGGAAACGTAGAGCACTTGTGAGTGAGTTAGTCAACAGTTATGAAAGGATGAATGGAAATGTGGTGTAGTAAACATAGAGCGCTTGTGGATGAGTTGGTAAAGGAGAATCATAATAAATATCTCACGGTAGAAATCTTTAAAAGGAACATGAGGGGCAATGTTTTCACGCAGATGGTGGCTCATATGTTGAATGAACTGCCAGATGAAGTGGCAGATCAGGGAGAGTCACAACATTTGAAAGACATTTGGACAGATACGTGAATAGGAAAGATTTAGAGGAATATGGGCCAAACGCAGGCAAATGGGACTGGTTTAGTTTGGAAAGTTTGGTCAGCTTGAACAAGTTGGACCTAAGGGTCTGTTTCTGTGCTGTATGACTCTATGATTCTATGTGACAATTTCCTGGACTTGCATGAAGGTTTCTCTCAGGGAACTTTGGTGAGTTTTTTAATGCTGTACTCCACAGCTATGAACCACATCTCTGAGGTTTCCCACTCACATTATCTTCCTTATCATCAATGACGGAAGTGCTGGGATCTTCTGGGATTCCTGGCGCTGTGCCATTTTTAAAGCCCAGGTCAAATGGCCTGCCAGCCTTGAGCTGCTCTTCGCAATGCAGCTAATGGAAGTGGAACAGAAAAGAAACACTCCTGAGGGCATAGAGGTGGCATGGTTGATACTTTATTATAAAAACAAGTTCACAATCGTAAATGTATTTTACATTAGAACCTCATCTCCCGAGAACCTTTTCTACTTCCTGTTACAAACTGTACTTTCTTCCGATTTGAGTTACCCCCTAGGTTTCTATCCCATTGACAAGCTAGTTTTAACCCACCCTGACAGCTCTAGCAGACCTCCCTGCCAGGATATCAATCCTCGACCTGTTGAGGTGTAATCCAAACACCACAGAACTGCTTCTCAGAAATCCATTGCCCTCCGCCTTACACAGTTTTCCAGCCAAGTATCGATCATTCCTTCCGTTCTTACGCTTACTAGGACGCGGCACTGGGAGGATCCTGAGCTGACTACTTTTGAGGTCCTTCACCCACACTCTGCATCTTTATCCTGACATGCAGCAAGCATATTGTACATGTTGGACAAAACCAGTATCTGCAGAACCTCCTCTATCTACCCTTCGGTTTCCCCTTTACCTGTTAACTCACAGTCCTTTTTCTACAATTCTGCTTTCCCTCGGGTTGTGACTAAACTCTGAAGAAAGCCATCAAGAAATTCTACCCGTTCCCTTAACATAAGGAATAAGAGCAGGACTAGACCATCTGGGCCCATCAAGCCTACTCCACCATTCAATAAGATCATGGCTGATCCTTTCACGGACTCAGCTCCTCTTATCTATCTTTGCCTTAAAAACACTCAATGCGGTAACCTTAACAGCTTCACTGGGCAGGGAATTCCACAGATTCACAACCATTTGGGTTAACAAATTCTTCCTTAACTCAGTCACTAAATCTGCTCCCCCTTATTTGGAGGCTATGCCACCTAGTTCCAGTGGAAACAACCTCCCTGCTTCTATCTTATCTATTCGCTTCATAATTTTATGTTTCTATAAGGTCACCCCTCATTCTTCTAAATTCCAATGAGTATAGTCCCAGTCCACTCAATCTCTCCCCATAAGCCACCCCTCTCAATTCTGGAAATAACCTAGTGAACCTCCTCTGCACCCCCTCCAGGGCCAGTACATCCTTAGTCAAGTAAGGAGACCAAAACTGTTGACAGTTTAGGAGAGTTTCCGACCTGCACTCCAGCTCAAAGTCTCGTAGTTGAGTGTTTTGAATCAGAGACATGTACTGCAGATATAGCCGAAATACTTCAATTCTTGAGAATCCAGGACAATCTTGCTGTGCACAAATTCCCTCTTGTTACCGTCCCAGGCCATCCATCAGTTCCATTTGCTTACAACAACTTATCCAGCCATGGATGAACGTATTTTATGGGTCTTGCCTCGACTTACAGAAAGGGAGATCAAGAATTGATAGGAACTCAATGAATTGGATTTTAACCCATTTATCACTGCTACCTTTTCCAGTTGCATTATAAACCAAAGAAGGAATGTCTGCTTGAGTACTGTTAAGTATCTAATCTCAGATAAAAGCAAAATTTGACCCTCCTTATCTCTTTCCCATTTTCCTGAAAGTGGTGTGGGAATTTTCCCAATCAACTGCCTCTCCTTTTCAGCCATTCATACCACTTCTTCAGGAATTTTGCCATCGTGATAACCAGAGATTGAAAATTTAACCGCACCAGCAGGACTCTCTGAAGATGAGTAAAGCTTAGAATCCCAACAATGTGGAATCAGGCCATTCAGCCAATTGAGCCCACTCTGACCCTCCAAAGAGCAGCCCCCTAGACCGAGCCCAACCCCACCCTATCCCTGTAACCCTGTATTTCCCATGGCCAATCCACCTAACCTGTGCATCTTTGGATATTGGGAGGGAATCAGAGCACCAATAGGAAACCCATGCGGACACAGGGAGAACGTGCAAACTCCACACAGACAGTTGCCCAAGGGTGGAACTGAGCGCAGGTGCCTAGCACTGTGAGGCAGCAGTGCTAAGCACTGTGCCACCGTGCTGCCCAAAGCTGATGAAAGCAGGGCTGTAAAGAGAGTTTTCTGCTAGAACACACATATTATACCACTAATCAAAAAGGTGTCTGAAGTATATATAACTAACCACCCGCACAATGTTGGTAAAACATTTTGTTTTTCTTTTGACGTTGCGTTCAGGAATGTTAAAAGTGATGATGTCACGAAGATCCACATGAACCTCTGTGGCGCCATATTTCTTCTGAATGTGAACTTCTTGACCAACCTGTGGCTCAGTATGGTGAACAGTGATGGTCTCTGTAAGACCATTGCTGTTTTTCTACATTATTCATTGCTGTGTACTTTTACCTGGATGGGAATTGAAGCATTTCAGCTGTACCTGCTGCTGATCAAAGTTTTCAACACCTACATTAGACACTACATGCAAAAACTGGCTTTTATCGGCTGGGGTGAGTAAAAATAATTTTCCTTTCACTTCCTGTTGACTGATGTATTGACTCCATTTTGTGCTTTACACACTAAACATTAGTTGCCCCTAACATTTTGAAATAGTGTTCAAAGATCAGATACCTAATGCATAATAAGAACCAGGTACTGCCCAAACATAAGACCTACCTGTCTTCCAGTTCAATCATTGGTTTCAGTTCCTACCCTTCTAAACTCGTTCAGCAAGATTTCAAACATACTCCGATAGATGTCATTGCTTCTAACGTAGGCCTCAACTTCCAACTGTCTTCAGCTCTCCTCAGAGGTTTTCTATCTGTTCAATGATGTTTTCTATTCATTTTAACAAAGCAATGTCCATTGTATTCCAATATCAAAATTAACACCACTCTCAGTCTCTGTCTCAATATAGATTTTCTTTACACCTCCACTTTACACCTATTCGGGAAGTGAGGGATGGGCAATAAATGCTGGCCTAGTCAGACATACCCTCATCCCATTTATGAATAAAACAAAATGTTGGTATCATTTTGATTGAGATGAAATTCATCCTCACAGTAACCCCTCTCTTGTTATGGCAATGGAAGGATTTTTTTTAACATAAACAGGACTGAGACAGAGTTCTGACAGGATATTCAGAAAATGAAAAATGTTTTTGCCCTTTAAGCCTGTTCCACCATTCAATAACATCACGGCTGATCATCCAACTCAGTACCCCTGTTCCCGCTTTCTCTCCACATACCTGGATTCCTTTAGCCCTGAGACCTAGTTACAACTCCTTCTTAAAAACATTCAATGTTTTGGCCTCAATTACTTTCTGTGGTAACAAATTCCACAGGTTCATCTGGTTGATGAAATTTCTCCTTGTCTCAGTCATAAAATGGCCAACCACGTATCCTTAAACTGTGACCCCTGGTTCTGGACTCCCCAGGCATCTGGAACATCTTCCTGCGTCTACCCTGTCTAGTCCTGTTAGGATTTTATAGATTTCTATGAGATATCCCTTCATTCTTCTCAACTCCAGTGAATATAGTCCTAACTGATCCCAGAAGTCAGTCCTGCCATCCCAGGAATCGGTCTGGTAAACCAATCTATCACCATTCGGATAAAAATCTGTGTTCCTTCATTGAATCCTCCTCACTCCTCACCCTCCCACACACCTTTGTGTTGTCTGTAAAACTTGGAGATATTGCATTTAGTTCTCTCAAACTGTAAGCAGCAAAAAGTCCACGCAGAATGAACTCCAGTTGAATTGTTTCCATGTACCTTTTAGAGATATCAACTGCTTTGCTATTTTGCTCATGCTAAAAGATTAAAGCAGTATAGAGTGAATTTAAGAAATTCGGTAGAAGATTAAAAAATAGAACCTGAAAAGTAGTAATTTGTGCTTTAATCCCAATGCCAAACTCAAACAAGGGAAGGAACAGTAACTTAAAAGAGATGAATCAACGGCTGAAGAGCTGGTGTATTGTTCAGGGATTGATGTTTTTGGACAATTGGAATGTCTTTTGGGGGAGAAAAGACCTGTTCATAAAGGATGGGTCTAACCGAAACTGGAAAGGGACCAATATCTTTATAGGGAGCTTTGCTCATTCCATTAAGGGAGACTACTGGTAGATAGGGGGAGTGGAGGAATTCTAAGTAGCAGTGTAAATGGAAGGATTGATGGAGAAGGTTCTGAATGTGAGGAGAGCACATCAATTAGGAAAGAAAGACAAGAGAGAGTCAGAGTATGTAGTAATTCTGAAGAACTAAATTGCATTTATTTCAATGCAAGGGGTCTTATGGGTAAGGTATGAACTCAGGGCACGTTTAAGAACATGGGATTGGGACATGATAGCTATTACAGAAACTTGGCTGAGAGATGGACAAATTGGCAGCTCAATGTTCCCGGTTTTTAGATACTATAGGAGATAGAAAAGGAAGCAAGAGAGAAGCGGGGTAGTGTTTTTGATTAAGGAATACATTACTGCCGTAACTCGGGAAGATATTTCTGAAAAATCGTTCAGTGAAAATATATGGGTAGAAATTACAAATAAGAAAGAAAAGATCACTTTGCTGGGATTGTATTATAGGTCCTCCAACAGTAAGAGAGAAACTGAGAAACAAATATGTAGGGAGATCTCAGATATGTTTAAGCATAATAAGGTTGCAATAATGGAGGATTTTAATTTTCCAAACATTGACTGGGGCTACCATAGTGTTAAAGGTTTGGATGGTGACAAATTTGTCAAATGTGTTCAAGAATTTTTTTTTTCCCAAAATGTGGATGCTTCTACTCGAAAAGGAGCAAAACTAGACCTCCTTCTGGGCAATAAGGCAGGGCACGTGACTGAAATAAAAGTGGGGAAACACTTTGGGTCTAGAGATCATATAATTCTATTAGATTCAAAATGGTTGTGAAAGAGGATAAGCCTTCCATAAAAGTTAAAGTTTACAACTGGAGTAACCTAAACATTAAAGGTATGAGACAAGAACTTTCAAAAGTTGATCGGAGTAGACTGTTTGCAGGTAAAAGGACCTCTGACAAGTGGGAGGCTTTCAAAAGTGCGATGACAAGAGTTCAGAGGCATTTTGTTCCTGTTAGAGTGAAGGGTAAGGCTGGTAGGATTAAGGAACAATGGTGGAATAAAGATATTGAGGTTCCAGTCAAGAATAAAAAAGGATCTTATTTTCGATATAGACAACTTGGTTCAACCGAATCTTTTAATCAATATAAAGAGTGTAGGGGCTTTCTGAAGAAAGAAATCAGGAAGGCAAAGAGGGGATACGAGATAGCATTGGCAGATAAGGTTAGGGATAATCCAAAGAAATGATATAAATACATTAAAATCAAGAGGGTAACGAGAGAGAGGGTAGGGTCTCTTAAAGGAGGTTGTCTTTGTGTTGAATCTCAGGTGATGGGAGAGATACTAAATGAATATTTCATGTCAGTTCTTACCATGGAGAAAGAAATGGAGTCTAGAGAATGCAGAGAAATAAATTTTGATGTTTTAAGAACAGTTCACATTACAGAAGAGGAGGTTCGAGAAGTCTTAAAGAATATAAAGATGGATAAATCTCTGGGACCCGGTATATTGTGGGAAGTAAGGGAGCGAATTGTGAGACCTATGCAGAAATATTTGCATTATCTATAACTGTGGATGAGGTGCCTGATGACTGGAGGGTGGCTAATGTTATACCTTTGTTTAAGAAAGGTTGTAAGGAGAAACCGGGGAACTATAGTCCTGTGAGTCTGACTTTGGTTGTGGGTAAATTGTTGGAGGTGATTATAAAAGATAGGATTTATGGACAGTTACAGAGGCAAAAATTGATTAGGGATCATCAGCATGGTTTTGTGCAAGGAAACCGTGTTTCACAAGTTTGATTCAGTTTTTTGAGGAAGTTACCAAAAAGATTGATAATGGCAGAGCAGTTGACATTGTTTATTTGGATTTTAGTAAAGCCTTTGACAAGGTTCTGCATGGTAGACTAGTTAGTAAAGACAGATCACATGGGATTCAGGGTGAACTTGCCAATTGGATACGCAATTGGCTTAACAGCAGGAGACAGTGTAATAGTGGAGGGTTGCTTTTCGGACTGGAGGCCTGTGACCAGCGGTGTTCCACAGAGATCAGTTCTGGGTCCTCTTTTGTTTGACATTTATATAAATGATTTGGATGAGAATATAGAAGGCACGGTTAGTAAGTTTACGGAAGACACCAAAATTGGTGGCATCGTCAACAGTGAAGAAAGCTTTCTGAGATTACAAAGGGATCAAATGGGTCAATGGGCTAAGAAGTGGCACATGGAGTTCGGCTCGGATAAATCGAGGTATTGCATTTTGGTACAACAAGCAAGGGTAAGGTTTATACAGTTAACGATAGAGCCTTGGGCTGTGTTGTAGAACAGAGGGACCTCGGGGTACAGGTACATAATTCTTTGAAGTTTGCATCACATATAGACAGGGTTGTTAAAAAGGAGTTTGACACACTTGCCTTCATTGCTCAGTCCTTTGAGTGTAGGAGTTGGGAAGTTATTGTTGAGGTTGTATAGGACACTGGTGAGGCCCCTTCTGGAATCCTGTTTCCAGTTCTGGTCACCCAGTTATAGGAAGGATATTATTAAGCTGGAGAGGGTTCAGAGAGGTTTACCAGGATGTTGCTGGGTATGGAAGGTTTCAGTTATAAAGAAACTGGGACGTCTTTTCACTGGAGCATATGAGGTTGAAAGGCAACCTGAAAGAAGTTTATAAAATAATGAGAGGTGTAGATAGAGTTAATGCTAGTTGTCTTTCCCCTGGATGGGGGGTTTCAAGTCTGGAGGGCACATTTTTAATGTGAGGAGAGAGATTTTAAGAAGACATGAGAGGCAAATATTTCACACATTGTGTGGTTCGCGTGTCAAATGAACTTCCCGAAGAAGTGATGGATGTGGGTACAATTACAGTGTTTAAAAGACATTTGAATAGATAGACGAATAGAAAAGGTTTGGAGGAATATGGGTAGGAGCAGGCAGGTGGGACTAGTTTAGTTTGGGATTATGATTAGTATGGACTGGTTGGACTGAAGGGTCTGTTTCTGTGCAGTATGACTCAAGGAATGCTATAAATATTGAAAGTGTTGGATTTTTAGACTTGCTGAACTCACTTCCATGTCTCTAGTGGTAAAAGAATGACTATTAGAGGTTGGATATGATCATTTTTCTTTCTAATAGAAACAGTTATTGCACAAATTTTGTAGTCTTCTTTAGGGGAGTTAAGATAAGTGTTACTTAAATAATTGATAGATATCCTACTTAAATATTTATGGGTGAATTTAGAAACTAGAATCTAGAAACTAAAAATAAGCTTGTATTCACAATCGTTTCCTAGAACCATTAACACAGACTGACTGCCTGACCTATTTAAATTGCACACTTAGCCCTTTAATAAACTTCCATATAATTTAGAAATTACATTGTCTCCCATAGTTTTCTGTATCACTAACTTGTGTGCATGGTCCATACCTCATTGATGGGGAGATACTTTACTGAGGAGAGGTTACTGGATTATGGTAAAATCTGGAATGTAATAAACTGGCACTTCATTGTCAAAAAGACAATATAATGGAAGTTAATATGCTCTGTAGGTGCCTTTCTTTTGGGGAAAGATAGGTCTGTCCTTCAGACTGATGTAGCATCTTTACGATCAGTCTTTCTCAAGCAAGATTTCAGAACGATCATCTGAGCGGTGTGCCTGGTCCAATATTATCACAAAACGAGACTTGGGTTGTAATCCACAACTGTTTAAAATGTATTCCTCTTTGTTTAAAAAAAATTGTCAGGGGTGCGTGTTTCTGCAACTAACATTGTTCCTCCCAAATTGAAATTGAAAGGAAAAGATGCACGTTCTCCGACACTGGCAATGCTCAGCTCCAGGAGCCCGTTGTTCTCTATCCTTCTTAATATGATACATTCTGCTCGAGATTCTTTAAATGTTAATGATTGTAAAACATTTTCTTTGATTGACAGGCCTTCCTGTGATGGTGGTGCTTGTATGTGTTGCAGTAAACAAGGACAATTATGGCAAGCTTGTGTTTGAGGACCAAGGTGGGAACAAAACTACCTCAATGTAAGTCTTTGTAAAAAGCGATGATGCTAGTATTTGAATCTCTTCCACTTCCACGAGAGTTTGAGGAGACATTTATTGCCAGGGAGAAACTGGACAGCAATCTCTTACAATCAGATTCAAATCTGTATTACCTGGTATTAGAGAACTGATGGCAACTGTGTCAGAATTTGCCTGTAATGGTTAGAGGGAAATCTACCAGTGTTCTGGTTTCTGATAGGTAT